AGCAAAAACAGTGTCAAAATCCGACGTTATCATTGCATATAGCTACACTTCGAATTTTAATCTAAAATTTTGACACAACACATAATAACTCAAAATAACATACTCCTCAAGATTTTAGCTCAAAACTCCAAGTGTACGATTTTTAATGAATTTTACAAAATTCTGACCAGAAACCGATTTATATAATTAAAATAGTTACAGATGGAGTTTCGACTTGAAAATTTTACACGACTTACAAAATTATCACAGCAGATCACAAATAAAATTTCACGGCATTCGGACAATCACACGATTTATCATGAATTAATTACGATTCAGCAGCACGCTCGGTTTGTAAAAATCATAACTCGCAATATATACATCGAAACGACTCCAAACATGAACTAACAGCTCAAGGACGACTCCAACTACTTAGAACTCCCAGAATTCCACGAAAAACACAATTTCACTTCAGTCTCGGGAATAAACCGAAGCAACGACAAACACAAATATATATAACTCGCACTAATTCATCAATAAATCACATATATGTATCAAAATCATCATTTAGGCATATATTATAACACAACACATCAATATAAAGAGGGATTATCAGCCCGATTACCGTTCTCGGGAAACATCGAACGAAAGGATCGAAAACAGGGCAGAAACAGACTTCACGAGTGCACCGACGGGGCTCGACGGGTAAGATTCGGCTTGCTCGAGGGCGGTACGAGTGATCAGGGGGGCCAAGCAGCGATGAATGGGACCCGACGGCTGCTCGATAAAAGCCTCGAATGGCTGCTGCTACTCTCGCACGGCCCGAAAGGGCTGCCGCTGTTGTTCGGGCCGCTAACCGAAGGCCGACGAGTTTAACGGGACGGGAAAAAATGGCTGGAACGACTCGACGGTGTGCTGCCCGGCGAACTCGGCTTTTACTTCTTCTTCTTCACGGCAAACTCTCACGCCCGCTGCCCTGCTCGAACACCGTCGAACGGAGTCTTATGTTGTTTGGGGTTTTCTTTTGGCTTCTCGATTGCACCGATGTTTGGCGGTGAAAGAACCGCTGTGGGGAAACTGCCAGCGGAATGATGCCTGAAGCCGCCGACGAACGACTGGGACTTATTCGGCGTGAACAAAACTCCGGGGTGTGCGGCTATGGCGGTTTCCTGCTTTCGGTGGCGGATCTCCTCTCTGGCGGGACGCAAGGTGGACGTGGGCGGTCGCTGTCGCTGCTCGTTCGGACAGATTTCACCGACGATGGAAGGCCGGGATTTGCTGCTCATCTCGAGTGGTGGTCTGCGGATAGAGAGAAGGGACGACGAGAGAGTCGAGATTGATGGGTTTGGACGATTAAATCTCTAGAGATGAGAGTGTTCTGAATTTGCGATTTAAAAACTGGAATTTGATCGATTTAACCATCTCCAATGCTCATTCTATTCTTCTATTTTATTGCCACATGACACACACAATCCTATGTGGCATGAAAAATGTCTAGAAGGCCTTCTAGATGTAGAAGCCATTCTAGAATGCTTCTACTAATTAGTATATATTGTTTATTCATTTTCTCTATTTTTCACCCAATTATAATTTGACACATCACAAATGATACCACAATTCACATTAACCATTGGAGATATAATTTTTTAATTTCCATTCTCCATGCCATTCAACACAAAATGGACAATGTTCCATTGGAGATGCTCTTAGTGCTCTGCTCGACATTTGGCCGAGATATAAGGGAACGAGAGAGGGTCGTGGGCTCAGAAAAATCGGAACCGAATGAACGATATGGGGAGGAGGAATCGGTCCCAGAGAAAAGAAAAAAAAAATATTATCTCACAACCTGCACGTGCAACCCACATCCCATTGGTCTTGATGGATTAAAAAAAGTATTGGGCCAATATAATTTAATCCATTGGGCTAAGAAAAATATCTCTTATTGGGTTTGAGTTGTTAACTTCACGATGGACTAAAATTAATTGATCAAGTGGGCTGAAAATTAATTTAAATCGGGCTGAAAGGAATACAACGCGACGACAAGAAATAAAACCGGACATAATATATATATATAATACACACAATAATATTATTTAACAATAATAAGCATTTAAAATAATTAGACATTTAATGACAATAATAATAATTATAATAATAATAATAATATAATAATAATAATCACATTAGCAAATAATAATAACAATAAAGAGGAAAAATATTAATAAGGAAAAATAAATAATGACTCCAAAAATCCACAGCCGAATGGGGTATTACAGTCTATCCACCTTACAAAGAATTCCGTCCTCGGAATTCGAAAATATAACTAGAAAGCAATAAAATACAAAGGGAAACTCAGAACATAAAGTTCGGATACTTCCGCCGGATATCAGCCTCTCTCTCCCGAGTCGCATCATCCTCGCCATGCCAGCTCCATCGCACCTTTGACGAGTCTAGCTGCCCGGTTTCTCAGCTGGTGAACCCCCCTGTCCAAAACAGCCACCGGTACCTCAACCTAGGTAAGGTCTCACTCGACCCGCAACCCGCCAAAGTCCACAACACATGCTCAGGGTCACGCACGCTCTCACGAAACATCACACGTGGAATACATCGTGAACCCTGCCAAAACTAGTGGTAAAGCGAACCGGTATACTAGGTCACCGACTCGTTCGAGTATCACACATGGCCCTACGAATCACGACTGAAGTTTTCTCCTCTTCCTGAAGCGGATCACACCCTACCACGGTGCATCCTACAGGAATATAGGATCACCCATCTCGATCCAGAACAACGACGTTCTCAACATACGCCCGTACAACTCCTCACAACGCATCTATCAACACACAAGACTCTCAATCAGCCTTCCAGTGTATTGACATCATGCTACAAACCTCCCCCATCAGGGGTCGACACGTGGTATCAAGCTTCAATACCGTGCCTGGGTCACGCTGAAAACTTGTCCACTATCACACTCTTCATAGTCTCAACCTATGAAGCATCCTAGTCTCCAATCGAGACTCGTGACAACGCTCGACAACACTGCAGAGTCACAATTTTTTGCCAACTTGAGATCATCTCATATATGGCATAGGATTCTTATCGACAAATCCCAATTGTTCAAATATATTGATCTAGGGAAACCACACAACGGTTTAGTGAAGCTTAGAGCTCTCGGTTTGTGGTTCAGAAGAAAGCTTCAATGTCAGGGGTCGACCGTACACACTATCCTGGGGAGTTTGTGCGTTCGGTGATGGGGGCTGCAGCTCACTTGCGAGTCAGCGATCAGCCCCGGCCGGTAGCCTCACGTCTCTCAGCACAGGCTTGCGTGCTTGACCACTACTTCGCGTGGCTACACCCAGACAGGGTCGGTGTTCGGGTCATGGTGTAGTAAAAAAGTTCTCAATTCCATGGTTCAAAATTTCCAAGGTTTTTGGATAGATAAAATTCCCACAAGGCAAAGTTTGGGGTTCAACAAAATAATTTTTCTCCAAGATTTAGGCATTAAACAAATCTCAAAAAGTTTCAAGGGCTACAAATCAACACAAGGCAAAAACCGAGTTCCAAGTTCGACACTCTTTTTCTCCAATTCCGAACAATTAATCACACGGATATAAACGATAGGAATATGAATAAAATTTTCAAGAGATCGAACATCGGCATCCGCAGCTAGGAATAATCCCAACTCAGCGGTCATTGCCGAACAAATAAAATGATTAGCTCGTTTGACTCTT